TCCCGCGTGTCTCTCTGTCCGAAGGTCAAGTTACTCGTTCGACTTTATGGTTTCAAAGTGGCCAACGTACGTCCCGTTTCGACAAATGCAAAAAGAAAGAAAAAACAACCAGAAACAACGTCTCAGATTGACACGTTGTTTTGGAGTCTAAGCTCTCCCTGCTTTCTTATTTGTTGGTGCTGGCAACGGTGCCTGGGACATGTCTCTTTAAGGACGTGTCTAGCGCGTCTTTGTTTTGGTGTGCTCGATTTCTGCCTGGTGACGTCACAACTGGGGGAAACTTGAGATTGTCGCGACCCTGTCGGTGGTACACGGAAGAAGAGGTGCATACTTTGGGCGCATGCTCGGCTCTCTCCCACTTTGCAGACAGGCAGTCGTTGGAAACTGGAAAGTGGCCGCGGGTTAATTGGAAGCGCAGCACTGGGCTCTCTCAAGAAGCGCAAGATGCATCCAGTCTATACAGGGTTGCAAGTAGCCACCTCTCACAACCTAGCCTGGCCACCGAAAAGGGGGGGGGGGGGGGGGGGGCGCTTTGTTGGGGGCAGCAGTCTGGCAACCCCGCCTTCGCCAGACCATAGCCTCCTCCGTATAGAGGAGGCTATGGCCAGACTTGACTAGATGATCTACACACACCATCAGCAAACCCAGGGGCCGCCAACGTGCACCATCAATTTCTGTTTTCACTTTTTCTTTTATTTCTTACATGGTCTACTCACAGGCAACAAACGATGAAACCGCAGTTAGACTTCTCGTGCACCATAAAAAAAGACACGGTGTTGACCGCAGACACGATGAAAGATTTATTTGCTTCATACATGCATGTATGCTGGGAACATATTTGCAGACCGTTTTTGTATGGACCACTACGACCTTCATACAAGGAAGCAATACGCCTCAGACAGTGTACGCAATGCATACTGTCTTTTGTGTGATATGTATTAGAAGTGTGACCGAGGCGGCTTAAAGGGATGGTGGAGCACTTGTTATCCCCTCGATTTTAGAGGATCTCCACGATGACAGTCGGTGTCCACTTGCACCAGGCGCGACGCAGGTTCCCCACTCTCGGTCTAAGCGAGTGACCCCGAGTGCAACTATATAACGGGCAGCTCTCATCTAAACGGCAACGCAAAAAAAAGCGTCACGCATCGCGTCCCGCTCCGGCGACACGAACAGACACCAGAGGGGCCGGCTTCCGGTGGACCGCTCCACGGGGACACCGGCCATCTGTCCTTCCGGCCGGTGCAGGGAGTCCGGTGTATACACGCCGTGCGGACGCGACGAGTGCTTGTGACCAAGGTCCCTCGGCGGCTCGCGGCGCCCCAGTTTCTCGGCTCCGCGGGTGCGCTCCTGCTGCTGGCGGGGTGTACCCCGTTTTTTTCTTTCTCCGAGAGCGCCCTTGTCCCTCGCCCTAAAGCCGCCGGACATTCCCGCGCCCACGACCGCTCGTATAATTGGCTGTAGTTCGTCGGGAGGAGACAACGCACGGGCATATACACGCTATACGGTGTGAGCTGCTGGCATTCGGCCCGATGTCGACCCGCGTGCACACAGCCATCGCGTCGCGGTTGATTCGTGGCAGCATCCAACCGTGAGCGCGGCTCGTGACGGTTGTATGACGGTATTATTGGCACCGGGAAGGAGGGCTTATCAAACGCGGTCATCGCGGGGTTTATTATGCGGCGGAATTCGCCGGAAAAATGTTACCTCCTTACGCGACATTTTCTACAGCTCGTGTTTGTGGAAATAGAACCTTCTAATTTTCTACCATGCCGCTTCCCTGATGCACTTCCCATTATTGCGGCTCCCAGGAGCCAAACGTGCACGGGCTTGTAATACCACGCGTGCACAAAGGCGTGATATTAGAGAGGGTATAGACTTTGATTCATTATCATTCTCTGTAGTTGTTGACTCGCATATTTGCACACCCACCCATGTTTGTGACGTTGCACCATGGCTGCGGCGCGGATTGTGGAACGAAGCTTAGGCGTACCCTTCGTTCTTCGCAAACTTGTTTTCTACGAATACGCCATGCCCAACGGCCCTATGGAAAAAGGCGCTTGTTTATAAATAACAATTCGCAATATAAGTACGCGCATGTATAACCAGTCACTTGAAGCTTAATAATACTCTAAAATATCATGGTAATCAATAGCTTTCCTACACTTCTAAAAAATCTGCGGGATGGGCGGCACATTCCTCGTGTTCACGTGATTCGTCGATCTTAGCGCCCGTATCCTCTGTTCATGGCTTTATTTTTTTTTTTTATTCGAAACGTATTTTTTGGAGAACGCTGAGAATACATTGTGTACCGAACTCCACACGAATCTACAAAAAAAATTACAGAACAATACAACTCGAAGTGCACGTATAATGAGTTTTCTCTGGCCACCATATATAGCTGTGCGAGTTGCTGTTGGTCGTGTGCTGACGACCAACTTCCATCAGGTTCAGTTTGTATTGCTCTTAGCAGACGATGTTGTTTTACCGAATGCTCGTGCTGATGACAGCTTTCTATAATAAGATGGCAATGTTTATAAAACACCGAAGTAAAAGCAAACCCGCTAATGATTTCGCTTGGAGCAGAAACGTCCACGGGGAGTGTTTTGTCCAACGGAAACAAACAACACGAACGTCGTAGGAAAAAAAAAAAAAAAAAAAAGCGAGTCGTCAGGGCGGTTCGGATGCTGACATGCGCCCACACGAGTCTGGCGCGAGCAACGGCAAGACCTGTCGCTGACGCGTGGATGGGCGTCTCGCGCCGCCGCCACTCGGTCTGCTCCAGACACCCATACGTTATTTTGGGACTGCTGCGCCCCCGGTGCGTGGCCCGAGCTTCGAGCAAACGGCTCCCTCAAGATACAAGTCCAGGTCAAGTTCAGTCTTGGGAGGTGGCGGGTGTCAGATGCCTCTGCGATTGGGCGCGGTATCTTACCTTCGCGTGCCTTGCGGTAAAGTACTGGCTGTTGGGAATCGGTGGACGGATGGATTTGCAATGCTCAACCCTTTTGAGTCGGGCGGTAACTTGCGTCATCTAGCCAGTCGTTGAAAATCTAGAAGTGGTCGTTTGATGGATTTCTGTCGTAGCCCTCAAGTCAGGAATTTTTTTTTCTCTCTTTCCATCATCGCAGCGATTTGTCATGCATCAACGGACGCCCACAGATCTGATGAACCAAACTACTCATCATCTCAAGAATAAACAAACAAACAAACAACTATTCAAACACACAACTCGCGAGTCAAGACATCAACACGTAAACAACGCGTGTGGCTGCACAAAAAAAAAAAAAAAAAAAAAGGCTAGGATTGCCAAATGAGATACATTTCAGAGTAACGACACTTCCACCATGAATGGAGGGATGGATGCTAACTGTACCCCTGATAACGGGCGGTAGCTTGCGCCACCTAGCCATATCGATATGCTTAAAATCATTATTGCCACTTTTCAGAAGCTTTATCTGAAATCGCAGGAAACGCTTTTCCACCCTCCAGAGGTATTAAGTATACCGTCTGCGACAGAGCCGCACGATATCGCCCTCGAACTTCCTGGCACCGTATCTAAGGCTTAGGAAGTCGCATTTTCAAATGATACCAGCGCCAATCGACCTTTTTCAAAACACCATCGAGCAACATTGGCGGTCGCCATTTCTTGGGCATGACGCGTGTGATTGGATCCAAGTTTTCGCCGAACGCTGTCGCAGCCCTCGTGTCCAATAGGATGATCGGAGTACATGCCCAAGCAATGGCGGACCCGGATAATTGGCGCAGCAGCTACCAGACGGCGCTCACTCTTGAAAGGGGTCTATTGCTCCCACTTTTTGCACTAGGCAGCAAGATGGCGGCGCCCACTAGACAATTGGGGAATGGAGTGTCCATATACCCTAAGTTATCTAGTGGATGTAGTCACCGCCTTCAATTTCTGATTCTGCTCAGTCACCCTCATGGTGTGATCCACTTCTTTTGTTCCGTGGCAACTTTCTGTTTCATTTCAAAGAGAAGAGGAATGCTAAATCTAAGAGCTCGCAATTTTATAATATAGTGTAGATCACCTAGTCCTTACTCCACACTTGAGCACAAAATAATTGACAAGGCCCAGGGTGTTTTTAAGGAAAGAAAAAAAAGGACTGGCAGGTTTTATTAAACTGTGGAGCTCTGTGCAGTGTTCTGCATTAAAAGCTTCTTTTCCGGTGCCGAAATTGAGGCACGGCGTCCCACCGAGAACACATAAATTCTCTTGGAGGTATTTGGTTGCACCCAATGTGCTTCAAGCATAGCGCCAAGTACTTGCGTTATTGAAAGCTAAGCGAAAATATTAGGTTTGGTTGAATTTGGAGCTCCAACTTATGTAGAAAGAGCAGACATGACCCTTCACGTGGCTGTGATGTGTGCGGTGCGGCATCCTGTGATGTACGAGAGCGTGAACAAAATGTTTTCACTTAAGATATGCGTGGGACCTCGCCCCAGTAGACCGACAAACGAAACAGCATCTTATTGAACGAGCAAATATTAAACAGTTTAGCCCCCTCTCCCCCCCCCCCCCCCCCCCCCCCCAAGAAAAAATAAATAGAAATCCAGCGAGATGTGTTGCGCAGATCGGATTTTGAAAGTAAATAAAAGTAAAATATCAGCCGATAAATTATCCCAGACTAAAATTATCAAAATTTGAGGGTTATATGCGATTTTTCAGCGGGTTCAGGTAAGCCTGAGTTGTCTCATCTGTTAGTTTTAATAGAAAAGCGTGGACCAGTATTACTGAAAGCGAATGCATATAAAATAAAACGAATTAAAAAGTTCTGTTAAAAATAAAACAAACAAAAACTCCGCTGCAAGTGCAAACAAAAAGGTTGTGATGTTATTGATATATTGGTCCATAAATAATGTTTATACAGATAGATATACATTCGTCAGTTTTTATACGAAAACAGACGAAGGTGTGCCTGGAATTAAGGCCCGGCTGAAGTGTCTGACACATTGTTATGGTTGTCTTGCAGGGTGGCCACAAGACAAGGGCCCGACATGTCCCTCATCTGCCAGAACTTTGTCCAGAATGCCTGGAAGAAGGACCTCTGCTCTAACTGCTTCAAATCCCTCTCGGACCACACCGACCCACTGTCCCTCGCCGGGGACAGATGCCTGCTCGATCCGACCGTGAAGGAGGAGAACCAGAAGAACAGTGTCATCTCGCAACTCGGGCACCAGCGCTACATCTCCCAGGCCACCACCATCTACGAATCGCGCAGTCTTCTGTGCCACCCGACGTGGAAGTCATGCTTGATCCAGGACAACAACGACTCTTACGTGCTCCTTAAACGTCCCAAGGATGTACGACAAGAAGAGGAACCCCCGGAGGATACCTTCGAAAACGCCGTCCTGACGGCCAACGGCCTCACGCAGGGGATTCTCAAGGTCAAGGACAAGGCGGCCCCGGGCGACCCGTCGCGCAAGAGCAGCAGCGTGGTCTTCAAAGAAGACCAGGTCCAGGTGATCGGGTATGGCGGAGACGACTACGACTCCGACGAGGGTAACTGGGAGATGAGCTCCGACGACGATGACCTGTCCTTGGACTCCTTAGACTCGACGGAGGAGGAAAAAGTGATCACGAAGATAACGAGGGAAAACACTGACTTCAACTCGCACAACGAAAACCTCCTGAGAGACGCGTTGGCCCTCCCCGTTCACGTGGAGGCCGAGAATACCTCGGAAGAACCCGAAAATAGCTCCGACACCGCCGAGTCACCCACGCCGTGGGGAGGGGCAGAGGATCGCAGCCGTTCTCCCTGTGAGATGTTCGTCGACGAAGTCGATGGTGAACGGAGCGAACCGCCGCCGCAGGACCCCAAGGTGATTGCGGCCACGCTGACAGACAGCGGGACCGCAGCCATCTACGAGGCGAGGTCTTCGTTCTTACACAGCATCACCCGGAGCCCGCCGTTGCCATCTGCCGTCTACACGCCCGCGTCAGACCTGTTCATTCATCGTGGGAGCACGTCTTCATCATCGTCCTCCGAGGACGAAGTAATTAAGCCGAAGCCCAAGCCTCAACTCAAGCCCAAGATCCCCGTCAAGCCAGCGCACGTTGTCCACAAGGAACCAACGGCAGTGCACGCTGCAGTAGACTCCAAGGAAATTGTCTGGGCGGAAAAAACGCCGCTAGCGGAAACTGAATCCAGTACAGAGTCCAAGTCAGAATTCAAATGGGAGCTCAAGCCGGACATCAAGTCAGAGCTCAAGTCCGAATCTAAGCAGGAACCCAGGCTGGTGCCCAAGTTGGGAGTTGTTTCTAACGGCACAAATGAACCTCATCCGGTGGCGGAGTTTGAACGAACGGTTGTCTCCAAGCCAGACAAGCCCGAGGAGCGCAGTATCTACTACGCAGTGTCAGAACCCTTTTCATCGTCGCCTAAGGCGGAAGCGCGGAACCCCAACCTGCATTTCTCGGAAGGCAACATATATCAGGAAGTCAAGAGCTACCAGCAGCAGCAGCAGCAGCAACAACAACAACGCAGGACTCCCCAGGATTCCAGCAAAGAGATCAAGTTAGCTGCCCTCGCTGTGGAGCTAGAGCAGGCCCGCTACAACAATAACGGTCCTTGCAAGCGACAAGCGCCAGCACCACCCATGGAGATTCCGGAGCAGTCATCTCCACGCAACGACTCGCCTCCAGCAGCCAGCAAGAAACCTTCTTCCAAAGGCGCCAAGCACAAGTCGAACAACCTTTCGTCTGAATGTTTGCAGCAGGAGGACGGTGGCAAGAACGGCAAGAAGGGCATCTTCTCCTTCAAGAAGCTTCTGAAGAGGGGCAAGGACGGAACGACGAATGGGGATGATCAGCCAGGCGATTCGCCCAACAACCCAAAGGCTTGGAAGAATGCGGACAGGACCCGGTTGCTGCTGCACAGACTGGACATCCGGCACCCGATGGACCTCGCCATGTCGCCCAACGGAGAGCCCGCGTCCTCTCCGGCGTCTCCCGTCGTGTCGACGCCTCCGCCGCCCGTCCGCGTGCTGGAAGACGGGATGTACGAGGGAGTTACCGTGGAGAAGTACGGGCCCGTGCCACTGCCCGCCGACTGCAAGGTGAGTGCCTCGCTTGTTGTTGTTGTCGCGGCTTTTGCTGAGAAAACTGGCACCCTCCCAGGAGGGCATGCACTATACAAATCATCGGTTGGCTGACGCGACCGAATGACGTCCATCTTTAGAATTTGACGTACCCTTGTCAGTCTTAGCATCTACGCTCGGGTCTTTTTATATTTTTTTTTTGTTTATTAGTTGTGTTGATTTTATTTCTCTGTCGTCTTATCTTACAACTTTTTATCCGAATAAAGTGATGCTTTGTCCGCAGGCGATTTTGTACATTGGTCCGGTATACGTCCGCAGGCGATTTTGTACATTGGCCCGGTATACGGTAAGAAAACAAACAGGTTGAGAAAAATAAATACGTACTGAAGGCTGTATCAGGAAGGCTTACGGGTGCGCCAGAGAAAAAGAACGAAATGAGAACTTAATGTTTATAGCCAAACGCCGGGTACCGATGGGATCCCGTATGGTGTTGCATTCTAGTGTAAAGCGTGGAAGGATTTGGTCGCATATTTTATTGAATCTAGCTTACCAGTGCACCTTCCTTATTTTATTTCCCGTACAAACGACCTTCACTTTATCTGGCAAGTGTCCGTCAGTGTCTTGCATCATAGTACGTCATTGCGATCCCCCTCATGCCCGCAATGCGTAGAATGCAAAAGGAAGTTCAGTCCAGAGCAGCACAGCTTCGATTTTATTTATTCTTAAAAGAACTAAATCCACCTGCGACATTCTGTTAGGCTTCGTAACTTTCGTACTGCTGGCGACAAGTCACCTATCGTTCCGGACCTTGTTGCATCGCCTGCCTTTGTTCCCAAACCCAAAGTTCCGCGCCAGTTCCACCGGTTGGATACCAGCACGAGGCAGACAATGTATGCTTCGTGAGTGAAAAAAAAGCAACAACAAAGTGTCCAGAGCTGCGTAAAATTGCTCTCCGCTCGGCGACGCCATGAGACGTTGCTGTTGTTGCGGCAACGAAGAGAAAGCGGGCCTCGGCGGGGAGACGACGACTTGTACGACTTGTGTACGTGACAGCCATCGGGGGCGTGACGGAAGCTTTGTTGCCTCCCTATTGTCTTCAAGTCGAACCGATCAGCGAGCACTGTTTCACAGTCCCGTCGCCGCGCTCGTCAAGCAAGACCAGCTTGCTCGAGACAGCGGGACGCTTACCACAGACGCCTTTTTCGAAGTGCAAGAGGCGGCGCTGCTATGGTCTCTCCAGAAAAAGAGGTCTACAGGACCTCAACATCAACAAGAAAAGGTGGCGACGGTGTAGGAGATTCCGCCAGCCCGCAAAAGTTACTCAAGCACGCCTAATGGAGCAGGTGTGGAAACGCGATGACCCATTTCGAGAGGAAATAAAAACGAGCAAGAGACTCCAACGCGTCGAAAGATATACCGTTTCGCGCAAGCGTCGTGCATCGCCGGGTTCCGTCTTGCGGATTGAGGACCATTGCGAGACAGGTCCCTGCGCAATGGTTCGCCTCCAGCTCGAACCGCGCATGCAGCGGTGTAAACCTACCGAAGTTCGAGGTCGACCAGGTTCGACTTTTCGAACTTTTATCGGAAGGTTCGACAAAAGTTCGACTGATGTACGACTCTTTGTGCGCATGCGCGTAAGTTAAAAAGCAGCTGGCACCACCTGATAAAGTCTATATTGACTGACAGCTCAAGAAACGAAGGCGGATGCGGCTTGTTATGCTAATGTTTTCTGCCTCCTGATTGGTGCTTCGGCTTTCTTATCAGCTAATGCCACACTCTGATTGGCTGCGGAGCGATAATGAGATGTTTGGAACTCGCCACGTTTTGTTTTTCTTAAGTTCTCAGTGACTATAGTGTTTGTTGGGTATATAGTTTTATTTTCCGTATTAAGTTATAACTCGAAAGGCTTCAAGAGAGCACATGTTTGCTTATTATATTGTGTAAATAATGGTAGTCATTTTCTAAAATATAAAATATAATACTTTTTAAATTAGTTTTTTTTTCCCCCGGAATACGAGATTTTTGTGTGGAAAAGTCGGGCAACACTGTCTATGAGTCGAACTTCGTCGAACTTTGCCGGAAGTTTAAAGGTTTTTTCGAACTAGTCGAACCTCGAGTTCGGGCAAAAGGTAATAGCTGTCACGTTCTTCGCGTCTGGACATCGTTTCCGCTCACACACTTGCAACTGCTTACAACCGGAGAGGCTAAAAACCGGTCGTCACGAAGTTGGTCGTATTCAAACGCTAGTGTGTTCGACCTTGAACGGGCCTTTTGTAGGAACTCCAGGAGCGCGGGAATCGATATGGATAGTCCAGGAACGCGCTCATGAAGATCAGTTGACGTACAGCTCGAGTAAATATGAACTCTCATCTGAATTTTAGTTTTATTTCTTGAGCGCCGCGATTTAATGGCCAACGCGGCATGGGCGACACGATCGATTCGTGAGAGATTTCAAGATAACCAACGGAGCTGTGCGCGCTTCAAGAAAACGTTCTGAGTGAACAGCTCCTCGGGGCATTTCGTTCGAGTATCAAAAGAGCTCAGTGACGTGGGTATATAAACTAATAATTACGTGTAGTCCGATCAATCTTGCACCGTGTAGGTCAGGGACGGAAAACATGAACTGTATAAGCCCAGCCCGCGTATTTCTTGTAGATATGTCCCAGAATTAAAAATTACCCATAATACTGTCTTTTGAAGCATTTTTTTGTTTGTTTTTTTTTAATGAAGAAATTAGGTAAATGAGGGTTATACCGAGATTACACGCTGATAAACGCCGAATTTACAAGAATTGGAAATTTAACGGAAGAAAGCTTAGATAAACGCTGTTGTTAAGATAAAAAATAAACAAACAAAAAAATTAACTTTGCACACCATGAACCTTCGAAATGATTGCTAAAACGCCACGTTTTTTTTTTTTTAATGCGATTTAATTTTATTAGAGAGAACGTATTTGTTTTTTTCACCATTCGGTGAGAAGAAGCAGCAGTTTCTGCACTCCCTCATGTGCACAGAGTACGTATTCAGACAACGCGCCACACACCATGGAATCACGGAAGCGGTGGTGGTCATCTAATATTCCGCTTTTCACTTAGTGACATCTACATAATCATTGAGGCCACGCGGGGCCCTTCTTGCCGGACGAGACGGCCTGCTTAGCCAATACCACCTAGAAAACAAGGCCTGCGCGTGACGTCATCGTTAGTGGATCCCCGACCCACCGCTAGCAGCAAACACACTGAGGCACCCCGAGAGACGCCGTATAAAGCTGTAGAGTCGTCCGCCTTGGCGCCACGGCGTTCTAGCATCGCGCTCGTTCTGAGACGCTCCAAGACGCGCTGCAGACGATGCTGACGCACGCTATAAACGGCACTACGCACGTATAGATCCACTAGGGATGACGTTTTGGGGGAAGGGGCTTAGGCCTTATCTCTCCGGTGGTATTGGCTTAGCTCGCTTGACCCTCGGCGAAGCGGAGCGCGGGGGCTGGCATTGGTCGGAGCACAGTTCAGGGAGCTCGAGAAAGAGAAAGGATAAAGTGATTATGACTCCGTAAATTTATTTCCCGGTCAATTTATCGTCGGCTGCAGGCTTTCGCTGTATGCCCTTCGCATCTGTCCCTTCGTGCGCGTGGCTGGCGTCATACCCGAGACACGACGACGATGTACTACCTCGTTAAGAGATGCTCGACCTGTACGCTAAGCCCCCGAGGAGTCTCGTGATGTGGTCTCGGGCGGCGCGTTTGCTCGCTTATTGCTTCGAGACGACGCGGGTCGTTTGCCTGGTTTCGTTGGGCAAAGCCTGAGCTCTTCTGGGTAAGATGGCTTGGTCGTTTGGACGAAGGAAAAAAGGACGAGAAAACCTTCTCCCCATCTCAGCATTTGTTTCAATAACGCGGTGTGGGACTGGGAGACCCTGTTAACAACAGTGAACATGGAGGGATGTCTGGACGAAAGTTGCGCGTCAGTGCGTGCATCAGATAAGATAAAGCGTTGATTAAACTGAGAGGACCTTTTGCTTTATGGGTATACATGGCTTACATTGACGTCACATCAGCCGCCATTACTCCGTAATATTCTCCTCTTCCCGTACCTTCTGCTGCCTACACTTGGCACCATTGAATTAGTGTTTTTTGGCAAGGCTTGCAAAGAAGAACAGATTAGGTCGTGCCAAATGTATGTCGCAGAAGACGTGAGACACAGGAACATGGTACGGAGCAACGGCGGCTGGTACGGAGTCATATGACGTCACCTACAAGGTATCTATCGATAGACACTTTAGAGAATCTTGCAGTGGTACTCGATTGACCTCTGCGTGTGCCATGGGGAATCCCATGGGTACCTGTAGGAATCCAGCTTGAGATGAAGGCTTGGGCGAGTTGGGATTACGGACTGTTCGTACGCAGACGCTTCACCTCACTCGAATCTGGTTTCTGCGCACGTGCAGCGCCCACACCTGGTGTGGGCAAAGGCGAGCTTGTTTGTAAACAGCGGCTTGGCGTATGCCGTTCGCTCTGCAAGCGGTATACAATATACCATCGGGAGGACTAGCCAGCTGCTCGCATCCGCCGGAGTCCCACATCGAGGGAGCCTTGACCAGGACAGCCGGCCGAGGGAGCGTGCGAAGTGTATCCGCACCGGCAGTCAGCCTATCGGCCCACTCATCTCATTAGCCGGCCGAGCAGCGGCGCGTGTGTATGTGCGCGCCTGCGCCCTCACGCAGCGTGACTCGGCAAAGTGCATAACAAAGCGGCCGCGCCGTCCGGGCCTCGCCATTAGTCGCAATTAGCGCGGGGGGTACGCGTCGGTCCGCGTCGTTAGCCGCCTTGCACCGGCGGAGACGACACGGGAAGAAATGGGGCCGGCCCTGCAGCTACGCGCTGTCACCTGTCTACCTTCCGTCCATTTGCATCTGCTCTTCTTGTGATGTCACTGACCGTCGTTTGTCAGTCGTCGGCTTTCTCCTCGTATTGTCTGGCTTTGACGACGTGCCCCACGATGTCTGTTGTCTCGACGAGG